ACTTGCTTGTCAAACTCTTTAATGTTAGCATTAACTGATTGTCTTAATTCCTGTTTTCTAGTAAACGTCTACTTTCAGTTATGACTGCTTTCTACACACTACAATTGAGGGAGTAAATTCATTGTGTTGATTGTACGGAACAAAAAGAATAAATTGTTTGAACAGATTGTCATGTATAAACAGACTGCGTGACGGTGTAACACGAAATTTTTTTGTTACTCCCACAATTTTTTACGGAAGCCTATATAAACAACCTTCCTCCCTTATTCAATTTATCATTGAACTTGAATTGAATTGAATTGAATTGAATTTAAATTTAAATTTATTAAATTTATGTAAAAACAAACGCTTATTCGCTGCATGATGCTAACTAAATTTATCTACACGCCTTAATACATTTGTAAATCGATCGTTGGATGTTACCAATGAAATAATGAAATTGAAATCAGGTGATGTCGAATGGGGGGTTGACCTTTTATTTGTGTTAAAGAAAAAATGTTAGTTGTATGTCTGTAACCTTATTGATGGTAATTTATAACTGGAATCCTTTTAAGCGCATTAACAACGACGAGGTTATTTCCTGAGCTTAACCGCAAAATATCATTTCAATTAGGACCAAATTTTTGTTCATTAGATTGATTTGCTATTTGTATTCTGTGAGCTAGTGAACGGATGCCATTGTTTATGAATCCTCATGAATGTTAGGATAACATGTTAAGTATAGTACTGTATATACTAATATCAACGTGCAAACATTCCCGCCCAGGAGATTTGTGTGATATGCATAAAAAACAAAATGGACATTTGATGAGTTTACTTGTAGGTTTGAAATTTATAAACGGAATTCGCATCTGATCGATATCAGTGTTAAGTTGTTGTTACGAATCCGAACAATGCGCATGCGGGCTGATTTTATTGTTTATTTTGCAGGATCAAATGCGATTGAGCGAACGTGTGGGTAGAGAGGAAAAGATAACGTGAGATTCTATTGACTATATTTTCTGTCAGCACTTTTATGTTTATTAATGAATATCTATGAAAGATGCCACCGTTGCACATTACATCATTAATGCACGCACGCCATTTTACTACAGGCCAAAATTATTACTTGTGTGTTCATTTTTATAGGATCGGGAGACATTGAATGAAGGATGTTTTTTTATTAACACTATCATTTATCAGATAGTAATATTGTCCTTGCCAACTAGAATCTACTTATATATTACTCTGTTATTATTTATCATTAATATTAGTCTAATAGATAACGTCTACAATGGTCATGCTCGTCATCATCCATAACAACTACTGAAGCTGTCAATTTAAGTTAAAAAAGGAGGGATAAAATTTGATAAGAAAAGCATCATGTATTTTTCCTTGCTTGATTATTGATACACAGCAAAAGTCGATATAACGGACTGATCGGGACCCGTTCTATCGACAAGTCCGTTATATCAAATTGTGAGCTATACCGGACTTTTAATTAAACATCCGTTATAGCACAACGGTGTCAAGTTTGTTCATATAATTTTCTTTCTTAACTCAAACCAAAATTCGCATCTACATTTAGGCGCTTTACAAACAGGTCGATCGAATCTTATTCTATAGACTTTCACTGTGTATTATTTTAGTATTAATATTAGGCGTTATTAGAGTGTGTTGTACGTCAATTTGGAATTTATGTCAATCTAGAATTGACGTATGTCAAATTGGAATGAATAATCAATGAAGGCAATATATTTTATTATTTATTATCAAGACGATAATAATTGCATTTGCGTTAACCATAATGTATCATATACTCAATTTCATGCTTCTCATATATCAAACAAACGCTAATTTGTTTCAGCTTATTACAATCCGAACTTTTTGCTCACAAAAAAATTTTTTAATATATTAAGAATAATACTGTTACTGATTGGAGAGCTTTTTTTCGGCTGACAAATATAGTGTATAACAATAATCATCTGAGAATCAAATTTTCGATGACAAGTTTCTTAGATTCGAATAATGTATTATATGTTGTATGTCAATTTGGAATTTATGTCAATCTAGAATTGACATATTTCAAATTGGAATTGAATAATCAATGAAGGCAACGTATTTATCGCTATAATCATTTCGGTCGTAACATGTGATTATCCGTATCGAGTATGAGCTGTTTATCCTTGCTAATTCAGGCTACTTCTTCTGAATATCTTATACATATTTTGAAATGCGCTAACCACTTAATATGCATTTTAGGAAGTGTGTACGATGCTTTTTCAGTGCCAGTCTTATATCACTATATCGCTATTCGCTATTCGCTATTCACGTTAGCCATCAAACGCTGTTCTCCTCTGAAGTCAATGTTTATTTATAGGGAAAAGTTTTTGTTAACGCATGACATCTGCTACATATAATAAATAAAAATAAGTTTTCCTTATTAATTTTCACTCTAGTCGATGAAGGCACGTTGATTTTTTTTTTTCTTATAAAAACGATGGAAATATCATATCTCAGTTGAACATCCGTTGAAATTAGAATCGTCTAAATTTTTGTGATGTGGACCGATAATCACTAATTGACGAAAAAAGAATCGAAATGAGGAGTATTACGGCAGTAAGTAGCAGGGTAGACTTTTGGAATAGTATTGCAAATAACAATCAACAAACGATTTGGAACCACCTATACAGGACAACAATATAATAGATTTCAGAATCTTGTTAGAGATTACAGCGTAAGCGTTAGATTCTATATACTATTTTAACTATGACATTTCTAATGTATTTTTATATTGGCTGTGCCTACTTCGCTGAAACTTTTTTAGTCGATGTGCCGGTACATAGCTGGGAGTAAAACTGGAAAGAGGAGCAGAGCAGGTGAACGATATTTTGAAGAATTTAATTCTCATTTTTGGGAGAGACCTGGTAAGTTCAACCTATGATACAATCTATCACCATAATAGTAAATATATAAATAACTCATGAATTTGCCTCGTATATGAAATATAGAAACTCCATTCGACATATGCATAATACAAATACATCCACCAGAAAACGTCACCAACTTACGAAGTGTCATCAATTCTAAGTACGAGTCGCCGTGAATCTACCACTAATCAAAGGAATCGATCCGCATCACCCACCCGAAGAGCTACTAGTGGAGGAATGAGAATATCAGTGAAACAGCCACCACCGGTAATAATCGAGATAATGGAAACAATGTAAATAATGTAAATGATGCGGGTGGAGATTCAGGCCGTATCACGAATGATGTAGATAATGCGACATACTCATCTTCATCTTCATCTGAGTTGGCAAATATTACCTCATCCCTTAATATATCTGCATCACGAAATGACAGCGATATTAGTAGTGGGTAGTCAGCCACCCTCTTATATGGAATCTATAAATGAGGAGGGGAGTTAGATTTCGTCCTGCTATGCAGAATTTCATTTGAAAATTTATTACAGAGCAGGTCATAGGCGATTCTTCGAACCTACCCGAATGTTTGGATTTGCGTTGCGTAATACAGATAATCGATCAACATACATCACATCACATCACAAAATAAATTAGAAGGTCACGGAACTTTTTATACATGTAATCGTGTGACCTGCTGATTGTTTAACATTATTATAAGATTGGAGATCTACACTAGACATTTTTATGCAGTTTTTGTCCTTTTTTTGGATGTTTACTATGTTAAATTTAGTAACGTCTCGTCTATACCATACGTAGTAAAAGATCGACAGCAAAAAATCGATAATATGAGCATCGTATTATTTATCGTATACAATTTGTTAATATGGGATTATTATTATAATTATGTATATAATATACGCTTTTCAAAGTACAAGTACTTAATGCTATTACTAATAAGCAGTTGTGTCAGCATTACGTATTTGATACGATATGTTGTTGTTAATTAAATTTTTCCTTTGGATTACATTACGCTCATACCATTTTAGACATGAATGCAGTTAATTACATAATGCTGTCGTCTGTCCGTTAATTTTTTTGTAATGTATTACAACTTAATAAACAAACAGCGTTTGTCAACTAACCTTTAAAATATATATTAATATATTAATATCGTAATTAACTAATGAATCGGTTGCTTTTATACTATATATAGCATTATTACTGAAAGTAGTCTAATCATATCAAAGCTTATACTGCTGATTAATCTATAACAATTAGTGTCGTATTGTGTAATTGAGTCTGCATTGAATGGCACCGTTACAGGAAAAGATATGGGAAGACAGCATTTTACTTTCGTCAAAGAGTACTATTAAAACACTAGACAAGTCTACTATTTATTACAAGATTAGTCAGTGACAACAAATTTATTTAGTAATACCGCATATGGAACGGAGAATTGATTGAGTAATACAAGAAATTTATTGGTCACTAAACGATATGAATTATATCTCATATCGTTTTCAGTTGTATGTTCTAAAAAAATTTCTTACTGGCCCGAGTGCTGCCTTCCCACTTGTATAGAAATTGACGGAACGTATTTATACAACACTATTGACATATATAGGTAGGCCTCACTAGCTCATCGTCTTTACCATGTTTGATAATATAAAATTTCAGTTACCAAATTAGTCAGGGATGATGGATTTAGTAAGGGGCGATGAACTCGGAAGGGGTAATACCATATATGATAAATCAGTGCTTCATATAGCCGTTTTGAGACTACTTGTGCGATCAATATACTCGCATTAGTGACATGTGAATAGCTTTAATACTTATTATATTTACCCTAAATAATGCCTTATTTGGCAATAGCTAGGGAGCACCCATCGAAGTACAAAAATTTATAGAGAAAACGCCATGGATATATTCGCGGGTGGTTTACAAATAAGGGAGGAAACGACTGTAGTTTATGAATTTAAATGAGTAGTTGAACATCAATATTAGTATTACTAGTTGTTCACACGGCAAGCCGCTTGCGTTTCACAAGTTCAAGACTGCCAGGATTACATTGAGAATGAACGGAAATTTGGTTTTAGTGTTTATACATTAGATATAGTTATCCCTGGTCGTGCAGCGCTTGTTTCCTATGTTTATGGTTTCATCTGAACATACAAGCATCGAAATAAGGCAAATAATGTATGATTATGGTCATAATAATCTTCGCCGAGCAGTTTTTATTACACTTTTACAAGAAGAATAACAGTTCGAGTTTATATAAATTGCCAATCTCTCAACTGGGTTATTACTCGACAGCATGACATCTAACTATAAAAGTCAGTTGTATTCTTTGGTATTCCCACGCCTCGTCAATGAACTAGTGTGCCAAATAATTGGTATTTCGCAAGCTTGCTATTATTATTATTATTATTATTATTATTATCATTACTATGAGAAAAAAAGCGCATACAGAAAGTTAGATGCAATTTGACCTCAAACGATCCACTTTGATTATCGGATAACATATCCGGTATACTACATTGAATATTTCAAAGTACCTTATACAAATTTTGATATATCAATGGTCAATTATTTTCTCTAATCACATCATCGATAGATAGTGTGCAAGTCTTATAGTTTTTATTTATATAGCGTAAATTACAATACAAAATTATGTTAATTTTTGTGTTGACAATTAAACGCTACACAAAGGTTCAAAGAGATTTCGATTCCATCGAGAACGCTGATGCATGCATGAAAATGTTCTTAGGATATGATTTCCGTTCCCAAGAGATAAAGTTTAGCAAACCGTATGGTTTTTTTCCTTCCGTAGTTCATTTTTTTTCTTCAGTATAATATATAGTGTAAGTTTAAGTATAATATATAGTTTACCGATTAATTGTGACATTAAATAAACCTCATTCTTCCGTTATTTTTAAATATATTGTTAACTCGACATCAATTATAAAAAGCACTCTCCACCTCCCTGAACCTGGCCTTATCAGCACTTTACTCGATACTTTTCTACATAATGTCAGATCATACCTTCCGCGTCTATAGATTTGCAAATCCAACTTTATTCGAAACAGAACTACCAGTTGAACAAGAGACCGAATCTACCACACAAATTTTAAGGGTACCCTCACACATGGATATGGATGTAAACAGTCAACATGCCGATAATTCGACTAACCACCAGATATGTTGCATAGAAAATAGTACAGTCATTCCCCCATGGCATTTTAACACGCGTTTACGTAGATTACATACGAAATTTCAAAATGTAATTCTTTATCAACATATTTGTGTGCCTTGCGTATATTGTGCAAGGCTACTCTATCCTCAAAAAGCAAAATGGGTTTTTTATAATTATTGTTTTTGCGAAAATGGAGAGGTTCCCTCGCCGAGATAGTAATGCAAAACCTTCAATCATAGCGTCACATTATCTGTTTCCATTAGGCATTAATTGACATAATGGTAGACTGAGTGTTAAACAAAAATAAAAACAAAGTGGAAGTTAAACTGATCATGTGGTATTTTGGTAGGAATCGTGTCTCTTACAGTAACGTGCAAAAGTATCCTACCGGTTGTATCATCTAAACGTACATAATAATAACTCCTTAAATTTTCCA